AAATTCATATATATATATATATATATACTTATATAATTATAATATTTTAGTTATATATAGTTTATTCAGGCCTCTTCTAGCTCAAGTTTTAATTTCTTTGTTCAAGACTTGGCTCAAAATTTAAATAGACTTAAAATTATACCTAAACTTGTTTAATAATTTTTAATTTTTTGTCAAAACCCTCTTAAAACTGAAGGAAGCCTTCAAGCTTGAGCAGATAGGCTAATTCTTGAGCAGAATCATTTGGAGGGTTGTTATTTTGTTATATGTTATTATTTGAAATTAATTACATTTGGAGTGAATATCATATTAATTAATAAAATAATATTTAAAATATCACATTTAAATATTTTATTATAATTTAAAAAATAATTCATGACGTTAATCCCTTGCAAAACCAAAGCCTGATTAAGAACTGCGAAAATATCAAGAAACAGAAGCCACATGACAAAGATCTCCTAAAAGCCTGTCCAAAATTAATTATTTGCGTCAGTTTGGACAAGGAGCAAAGTTCTTATGGGACATTCAACAGTCGGGGTAAAATTAAAGGAGATTAAATTTCTACAGTGTCAAGCGCTATGATCCCTTTCTGATAGCTTTCATAGTTGATTGCACCATAATTTTTCACATTTCTATATAACATTGGCCTGTGCTCATCCACCAACCCATCCACAGCACCTATCTCTTTTTCGGGTTCTGGTTCATCAAACAAGGCCACTGATATCCTCAACTTCTCCGAATTTGTCACTACCCTGTGCATTGGGCTCTTGAATATTCCATTACTCATTATCTGCATGTATTCAAATAGCAAAGACTTTTTTTATCTTTGATTCTCAGCACTGTTACAAATGAAAAATATGCCAATTTGACTATAACATATATACCTGCATTTGATCTCCAAGATTGACTACAAAAGCATGGGGAATTATAGGAACCTTGACCCATTTATCATCTACAAAAACTTGAAGACCTTCCACTTCTCTATCTTGCAAGAGAACTGTAATTCCTGATCTATCTGTATGAGCTTTGACACCAAGAACCAGATCAGGTCTTGAGCAACTTGGGTAGAAATTGAATCTTGCTTTCATTAACGCTTGGTCTCCAAACTGGTTCTAGAAGCTGTTTTCTTCCAAATTTAATGACCTTGCCATTGCCTTATATAGAATGCTAGTTAAAACCTTTATATTTGAGGCATACTCCTCTATGATGTACCTGTAAAGAAAAATAAATTGAAATTGACTTCTCAATATTTGTGGCTCAAATGCAACCTAAATTTATCAAATGTTGTCCCTTTTACATTAATGTTGATTGGAAAAGCTTTCCCTGATATATCCTCATCTTAAAATAAAAATAGACGGTAAGATTAATTGTGATAAAATTAAAAACAATAATAAAATTTATTGTAACGACGATTAAAAAAAAATTGCTATAGCTGCGATTAAAAAAAATTAACGAAAATTTTATATTAATTTAATTTCACTGAAGTTGATATTTAGATTCAACTGGAGGTGTGATGAATTTAATCCGGTGCTGTAAAATTCGAACGGGTACTTAGTTGATTATTTTGGAAGTGATTTTGTTCATTTGAAGAAAGAGAATGATAATTGTTTTTCAGATAACCTTTGAATTAGAGTATGCAGTGCAATATGAAATATATATACCTGAATTCATTTGGATTCTCTGGCCAAAGATTGAGCCTTCTTTTATCTTCAGGACATGTCGTAAGGGTCAAACGAAGCGACGAATCAAGAACTTGCTTGTCTGAAACTATTCTGTCACTCCCATATCCTTCAGATTCATTAACTGCTCGGGCATATTTCTGCTTCTCATTCTCTGGGAGTGCAAAAAATTGCTTTGCAACAGCACGCACCTTGTCAAGGAATGAGGTTGAGATCCCATGGCCAATTGCCTGAAATGTTGAAACAATTCCAATCCAAAATTGTGAAAACCATTAAAGCTTCATTCAAGTACAAGAAGAATCGAGCTAAATTATAGCTATTATAAATCAGACATAAGCGTCTTTCTTTTCTATCACGTGCACTTTTGTTGAAATATCAGAGCCAAACAAAGATCAAGATCGCAAACAAAGTGTAGATCATACACCAAAAGACAAACTCTCAAGAGAAATGCTAATATATCACTATTTTCATATATTAGCAAAAGCTCAGCGCAATGTGGAAAGAGAAATATTGTTAAAAACAGAAGATGTTGTGTGTGCCTAGTCTAGTCGTGAAATGTTTCTCACTGTATTATGTAAAGGATCAAAAACCTGGAAGCACCCGAGGAGCTGAGGGCTGATTTGAGCTTCTCTATTTCCTTGTCTACCTCTCTTTCGGACAAGGAAGACGAAGGTAAGGAAAAGAGGCTAATATCAATAATTGGAAATGGAGAAAGTGATGAAGAAGGGTTTGCAGTCCCATAACAGGAATCCTTAACTATGTAATGGAACGGTGGCTCATCGCCGTCAACAGACATTTCTCGGACACTCTTGGACACTAGCGAACCCGACTCTGAAGGAAGGAAAGCCATCTCCGATCAACCTCACCGATATGCAATGTCAATAGAGTAAGCATTGGATGCTATATATTATTATATAGTATTGTAGCTTTTGGTCTGGTCATTGTTGACTATATCATGTGCTGGAACCGAGAGGATTCATGGCACTGCTCCAAAGGCATAAAATATTTTCTCAGTTTTTTACGTGAGAAATTATTTGATAATTTTTTCCTTTTATAAGTGAGATTAATTTGATAATATAAGCATTATTTTTTTAATTAATTATTTTTATTTTTATTTTTAAAATATATTTTAAAAAATGTTTATCATTTTATTAATTTTATTTATGAAATTAAAAAATTACATTATTAATTTATTTGATAATTTATGATGAAAATTTCTCAATGTCGGTTTTATGTCCTCAAAAAACTAATTTTGATGATAAGATCCACAAATTACGTGGCATGGATCAAATAAAAAATAGCTTAAATTAAATTTGGTAGGTTGCTTTATGGCTTTTTGCAAGGCATAAAGAATAGAAAATTCTTGCTATTGCTTTTTGTTCGTTTCACGTTTTTCACGATAAATTTAATAATCAAAATGACAGGATATGCGCATTGATACACAAGATTTCCGGGCAAGCTTGCTTAAAATAATTAATTAAAAACGTATTGTCGGATACCAAGCTTGCAACTCATCGTGCAAATCTTATCTTAGAAATTAGGATCATTAACCTATGGATTTGAAACCAAATTTCTCTCTTATTCTTTTCTTTAGAGTCTAAAGCAATTTGCTGTAACACGTTGGCCTAAAATATTTCAATTTTGGCTCCTTGCGGGGACACAAAATCCAGTCCTGATATAGTATCATTGAAATGCCTTCGTTTTCAAGAAAGCCAGGAATTCTAAGGTAGACTGAACCTGTAATCGAGCCTATGGGCTGGGACTGGATCCTTTTCTGAAGGCAGTTTCTTAAACAACCGTTCCGCTTTCTTCAGCTAGAAGTATATAATGGTTTGGGCCCAAAACTATGGTGGCTTCTAGTTTTTGGTTCGAGTGACCAGCGTCCCTGCCCTACAAGTTTGCCCAATAAATGCATCTCTTGGCCCTTGAAGGTAAATTCTCCTGCCAATGATGCTTCTCTTCCGAGTCCACGGTTATTCTATTGTTTTCCTATGTCATAGAATGCAAATAGATAAAGTTATCAAGTTGTTTAGGAATTGGTCTCTTGAATGCAGTTACCAGCTCGCTTGAAACTTGGAATTTGTCTACCGCTTTCCTAGCTTATATATATATATATATATATATATATATATATATATATATTTATATGCATAATTATGATAGGGTTTATCTTACAGGAAAACATTTTAATTATCTTTTTCTAATGTTGATAATTAAAATGTTTTCCTGTAAGATAAACCCTATCATAATTATGCATATAAATATAAATATAAATATAAATATATATATATATGCTGATTCTTTCTCTTCCCCTGTTTGTAGGCTCAGTTTTTTACTGAGGCAGACGAAAGTACCCTGAACTTGTGTGTTAATCGGATGATGACAGACTGTGTTTAAAGGCTTCAATTAAGCTCCTTGTATTTTGCCTATAATATGTGGGAGGAAAAACGGGTTGCCCTTCCATCACCTGCCTAAAACGAGAAGAAAGAATTCAGTACATTTCAATTTCAACAGATATTCACTTGTGTAAGTATCTCGACGATGAAATCTTCGGTTGCTTAATCAACCGGTAACATGCTTAAAACTCAAGTCAAAGAATATGCTGATGTCAGTCTTCTTGTATTTTATATTAAGGTCAACCTGTAATTTCGTGCCATTATCAATACATGGACTGTTTGAATTATTTTGATTTAGCGGCAAACTTCCTTGAAGGGAAACCAAAAGCATTTGTGCTCTGCATCAATAGACTTAGTGTTTTTGTTCCTCATCACCTCTGTCAGCAGTCTGGTTCTAACTGGAATATTTAGCATGATGTCAAGTAGTAGAATTCAACTATTTTGTACAGTGGTTCCACTCCCTTTGCGAATGATTTGTGACAAAGTGGTGACTGCATTTGTTTTTTACAGAACTCTGCTAATTTTTACCTGATAAACTATCCTCCATATGTTAGTCTCTAGGCTTGACACCAAAGCCTAATATTGAAAACGTCTATCATTTGGAATCCAAGGTCTTAAAATGACTAGTGGCTAGTACTTTAAATGATTGGATATGACAGTTACATCAAACCATAACTTTCCATGAATTGCGTTGAACGGTTATTTCTTCAAATTTTTCTTGTAGGGTAGTACCAACACTATTGGAGCAGTGCCTGGAATTGTAGGTGTTGCCCTTACCGGTTTACTTCTTGATTCAACTCATTCATGGAGTGTAAGTTTCATTTTCAGATTAGAAGTGATGGCTCTCCCCTCCCCCAAAACTGTAAAGAAACAATTGGACTTCTGTACCATGCGGATGTCACTATTTGCACGGTCCATATTCTTCTACATGACTGGTACCATTGTCTGGTTGGCATTCTCTAGCAATAAGCCTCAAATCTTTTCGATGATTGATTGACCTTGTTTCTGTGCTTTATAGCAGTTTTCCTGAATGAAGCATCCAAACTGATTGACACAGTGTTCGAGGTATCCCAAATTTGACCCTTTCCACAGTGCCTAAGTGAAAGTTGACCATGTTCGATATTCGTAGTTGGTAGTTGTTCATATACCTGCATAGAAAATATACATGTATGATTTAAACTCTGATTTTCTTGATATAATTTGTATGTAAAAGTAAAAGGTTTTGGCCACCAAAATTTACTGAAAATATTTGTAGTTCTAAAAATTTTTGCAGTTGCTTATTAGAGCTTGCAATCAGTAATAATCCTAGAAAGTAGAATACATCCGTGCTGCTGCTGGATATCTTACCCTCGCCGCTCTCTTCCGAACACAGTCACGGACACATTCTACTCATGAATAAAATATTAGGTCAATCTATATGATGGTTTGTTCTCCTACCACATGTTATATGACAAATGACAAATTTGTTGTACCAGAGATTGACTTAATGGTAGGTACTTATATTAACTCACATGCAACCTACTGAAAGCTGTTAGGACAATAGTTAGGGCAAGTCTATTCCCTTATGGACCTCGTCAAAAGATGATTTTTGCAGGTTATTTGCACCAGAATTTGGCTCATTGGTAGCCAGAATTTTGCAGGTTGTTTTGTTTCTCATGAATCAACTCATCATATCTATACACTCATATTTACCATAGAAACTGGGATGAAGAAAGAAATTATGAATGTTTATGGAAAAAGTATGTTGCATTATAAATTCACAATGGAAAAAATGAAATATTTGCATTTTGTTCTATTTCTTATTTAACCGATCACTAAAAGGAACCAATTTTAGTTCCCTCTAGCACTATACCTTGCAAGCAGGGAGAATAACATCTGGCATGTGAGTGAACACAATAGATAAAGGAGCTACCATTATTAGCTTTGGTGAATTTACATGTAAGGGCTCCAAAGGAGGTATGATCCCAGACGAATTTACACTTAAAATTTTTCCATTAAGTAGCATGGTTTGGCTGTGTAAATTTCCATCATTTGCTGTTAGATGGTATTCCTCTCTTCTGATTTCAGCATCACTGCCTTGAGGCAGCTGGATAATCATTGTTTTATGAGACCTGTGCTTGTGGTGCAAAGTCCTAGACCTGTGCTTAGGCTTGGGCTTGTGCTTGTGTTGCAAGGTCATTGTACTGTTGAATGCAAGATTTGCTTGGACAGTGGTGCTATTGTCAAGGTTGATCAAAACTAGAGTGATGCCATTCTGCGAGATAGGAAACTTTGGTCAAATAATAAGAAAGGGAAGATTACCTGCTTGCTAACTGCAATACGAGACTTACTGATTGTTTTGCACAGTGAGTGTATGAGCGTATCTTTTTGGTCCCAGCAAAGCTTGTAGATAGAACATTTCTTCCCATTAATCGGTGCCAAAGAAGAGCACTGCAATGGAGAAAGTAAAGTATCATGTACATGAGGCTTAGATAACCTACTGTAGATTCTTCATTAGGACAAAAGTATGAATATCTCAAGCTCAGCCTCAGCTTTTGATGTGAAATGGCAAATAGATAGGTTGATCTAGTTGGGCATGGCATAAATGAAGTGTCAATGGGGTATCAATCTGTTTCAGGGAATTTTATTGTCATTGATTACCATGATAACCATCCTTAGAGTTTTTCATTTCCCTTTATCCTACACAAATAATCGAAAGCTTATTTTGAAGTATATGGAAATAAACGATTGCAGTGATAAGGGCAGAAAGAAGACTCTTAGTTTTCTTTGTCTTTGTGGGAAAAAATGTAGTAATGATTTCTAGTTCTGTGAGTTTCATAATGAAAGAATTTCACAAAGCAATAACCTGTAGTAATCTGGATTTGGCACAAAAGTGGTAGTGTTTAGTAAACCATAATTTCCACCAATCAGTGATTGTCTGCAGTAAGTTTTTGTATCATACTTTGATGCCATGCCAAGTTGATCTAAATACCTGCATTTCATGTCCAAGGTAATATCACTAAGAAATCAATCACAGCATAAGGCCTAAGTTTCTAGATAGCAAGTTATTGCCAAATTACCAGAAACTGAACACAAATGCATTTGTTACAAGATTATGGCCACTGTTGTAAGCTCCTCCTGCCTCACCCACCCAGGCAGTTGCTGAAGTTGTAGAATTCTTGATGATGTTGTGAAGGCCACTGAATGTTCTGGACTCACCATCAAGAACGGATGGATTAAGAATCTTTTCAACAAGGTGCTCATCGACTCCTACACAGAAGAATATGATTGTCAAGTAAGAAACTTCTTTCAAGTCTTAAGCTCCTATAGGATTCAAATACTGGATTGTACAAGATGAATTACACCTGGTCCAAGATTGTATATGTGGTGAGTGACCACATCTAAGGATTTGGTTGTTTTATCGATGAATTCTTTGAACCAATTTGAGTCATAGAACCCACCAGGTGCTATAACTAATGGCTTCAAATCAACATCCCTGTATATGTTTTGCACTATACTTTGTAATGCTGCTGTGTCGGCAGCATACAGATTTGCTGTGACTCTAGTTCCAACCCCACTCCCACACAATTCATTTCCTGACAAGCACGAGATAACAAACATGCATAAGTTGTTCCCCCTACCTTTAGAACTATCTTCCATCATGATTCAAGAAACAGATTCTTTTACTTACCTAGCTCCCAACCATGTATGGTATAGTTCTTTTCAACGGTGTAACGTATGAAAGATTCAGCATTGGTGTAGTTCCATGCTCCTACAGCTGAACCATCAGACTTTATAGATCGTCCAACAAGAGCATTTAAACCAAAAATAATCTTAGCCCTGAATTGTGAAACATGAGTTAAATTAATGGCCAAACATACATAATTTGAAGCTCAAAGATTACAATGGCCAAAAATATGGGGACATGATTACCCTGCTTTTTCAAAGAAGGCATTAAGCTCATCCCATCTATTCAAGGGCAAACATCCTTGGGTAAAACCAAACATCTCAGAAGTGTTTTTAACAAATGAAGTACAGGGTTCCTGATTGTCACTTGTATCATATATGACCTTATCTTGCAATGTGCCGCCCAATCTAATCTTCAATGGTGAAAAGGCTGAACAATATAGGGACTAAAAAATAATTAAGACAATATTTTGTGATTAAAAATATCCACCGAATGAAAAGAATGCCTTACCTTTTATGGCATTCAAGAATATATTATTACTAAGATCCTGCAAAAGGAAAAGAAGAATGAAAAAAATCTCAGCAAGCACTTTTAAACTGGGAAATTGGCTTTACGAATTGAAAAAAAATTCCTTTTTATAAGTATGAAAAGACCAGCAAGTCAAACAATGTCCAAATTCGTAATTAAAAATTTTATTCTAATTTAACGTTAGAAAATGAAATTTCTTATTTAGCAGAAATCCCTGGTTGTCCAAAAGAAAAAAAAATGACAAATCATATTTCTGTACAAAGTTTCGGGAAAAAGAAGATAAGAAAAACGATTTCATTGAAACACGGCGAGCATGGTGGAGTGCATCATTTGTACACATAAACCCAAGATAGAAGATTGAACAAAGGAAAACTATAACAACCAACAAAGAAAACATACTGGATGATTCTTGACAGAAAATGAAAGTATTCAAAAGAACAAATGCAGCTGGAAAGGAAAAAAAAAAAACCATACCAGATTGAGCAGTCCAGCGAGACCCCAGCTGCATGTCCCGTAATCACATTTTTCAGGAGGCCACCAGTCCAAAGTAGCACAGATAAAATCATCATCTATTGTAGCAATGGGAGCTTTCCCATCAATAAAAACAGTTCCTTCAACAGTTGTATCCCCTTCAGTTTGTGAACTTACAAAACTCAAGCTGTAGCATAACAAACTAAAACAAACCCATAAATAAAACCCCATTTTCCGAATCCGAAAGCCCATCTTTGGATTTCAATAAGAAAAAAACAAAGTTCGGATCTTGAAACCCTTTAATGTTCTATAATGGGCAAGATAGCCAAGAAGCTGAAGATATGTGCTTTCTAACAGGGTTTGCCATTGGAGGCAAATATAAAAGACAATAAAATTAAAAAAAATGGATCGTAATAAAAACTTTGCTCAGAAAGTGAGATATAAAATGCAAACAGAAGGGCATACTGTATTCCTGTATATATGTGTGTGTATGTATATATGGGGAGAATCAAGATGAGGTAGCCATGGTTGCCATCTTGGTTAATTATCTTAGCAGTTTAGAATAAAGTGAGATTTGCTACAGAAGTGGGACCATTATGTTGCAGACACTTTTGGCCTTTGCTTTCCTTGAGGAAAACAGCAAGGATATTTTTTTGTTAATTTTTCTCTTAACTATCAAACAAGCTTTTTTTTTCTGGTAAATAAGATAAAGTATAACTTAGGTTTAAATTATAGTGCTGGAGACCCCATAACACAAAATTTCATTTGCTTAATAGTATCTTTAGTTGTATGAGATAGAGCATTCAAACTGCACATGTCTTATTGTATTTCTTCAACACTATATTTTATATCTCAATTATTATTATGTTAATGGTGAAAACAATGATTAATTAATAAAATTAAAAGGGGAGGAATGGATTATGTTGATGTTGAAAATAATGATTAATTATAATGGAAGCAAAGTGCATGAATGAAATCACTTGGAAGAGGAATGTATGCATATAGTTGCATTTGCACGTGGAGAAACTGAGGTCACCATCGAGCGGTACTCAAGTATTCCAAGGACCGATCCTTAAATCATATAATCATTTTACAAGTAGTTTTTTTTTCATACTTCTCCTTTTACCATTGGATGACTAAAGGTTTGATAGAAAAAGAGAGAGAAAATAAAATCTAAGCAAAACTCCGTCAACACAAGTCAATCTATGATTAGGTTATTACATTAATATTAAAATTTGAGTGAAAACCAAGGTCCAAGGGTGTGATTTATCTTTCATCACAAGTTGGTCCCATTGCTGTTTTCAAACAAGTTAGTTGAGATTTCAGCAAACATGTCTTTCACTTATCTTTTTTTTTTTTTTTAATTCATGAGGATCTGGTGAGGGTCATCTACCCAAAAGGGAACCACCAAGACCTACTCCATTCAATGTTAGTTAAGGAGAGCCTTTTTTTTTTTTTGTGGGAGGGTGGGGGAGGGGGGGTTTTATTTTTTGTTATGCATTAACCTAACACCCCTTTCTAATCTGGAAAATTTTCTTTAAGCTGTCATGTTTCTGTCATCCACTACGCCACCACCACCCACAACGTCCAATTCTTCAATGGTAAGAAATGCCCGCAATATGATTATCACCTATTCTCGAAGAAAGCTTTGGCTTTTGATTTGACCAGAAATGGAGAACAGTCCAAATGAAAGTGAGAGTTGGCTGGTTATGCAAGGAAAGTCCACATCCTATTCACTTGCCAGCTTATCTTTTCAGATTTCTAGAGATTTTATGCTTTTGAGAGTTGAAAATTTCGATCATTTGGTCACGAGAGAGTGTTCAGTCGATTCAGTCTTAACAAATACAAAAACCAAATTAACCTATTTACATTTTGCATCACCATAATTTTATCAAACAAATGGAATCAATCCTTCATTATATCATTATTATTAACCAAGAACAAAGGGAAGAAAAACCAACTTTAGGTTTTTCTTGTTGTTTAAGAAAAAAAAAAGGTGAAAAATGGTAGCAATAAATTGACAAAGTGAATAATTATGTACCATTCTAACTAAATCATATTGGGAGGTCAGATTTGATATTCAAAATCAAGCTGTTAAAGCTACAAGTGATACAAGCAAAAATAAAAGTGAGAAAAATATATATTTTTGTTTGATGTGTTTATTCGAATTATGATATAATAATTTTTATATTTTATATATTTTAAATATAAAATAAACAAATACAAATACACAAATTATAAAATCCACAAAACAGTAACATATTACCAGAAACTTTACTGGTATTTGCTGAAATGACAATAACACCAATAAAAATGCCTAAATTAGAGATTAAGCTACCATTCATTATTTTCTTTTCATGATAACTCAACTCAACCTAGCTAGCTAGTTCTACATCAATCTGATTTTTCCGTTCTACTGATCAATCCTATCAAGACAAAACGAAAGATTTTTCCTAAAAGGAAAATTTTCTAGAAAGTATATATTGCAAATCCTTGTAACAGTGAAGGACACTTAATATGCTAAGACTTTATCTCAAAAGTATCAAATAGAAGTTGCAATCGGCAATTAATTTGAAGGTATTTTTACGCGAACTCCTCTTTAATTATTTGACATTGTCCCTATCAGGGTTAGTCGGTTTCTAATGACATTTTTCCTGGGGGTTAGATTTTCGACTTAGAACCATAGGGTAAAGCAAAATGGAGTCAGAAGGAAAAAAAAAATGGAAATTTGGTATTTTTTGGTATAGATAATTGGTTTATTTAGGTTGATTATTTTTAACATACGTAGTGTTTAATGCCTAATATTTGTCTATTCCCTTAACTTGTTCAATTCCATTGACGAATATGACCAAATTTATTTTTAAGTTCTCGGGATGATGCTAAACTTAAAATGCGACTAGGGCATCCCTGATTGATCTTGTTTTGTTCGAGTGGAAGGAATAGAAAAATAAAATCAAAAATCAAAAAATGGCAGAGCGGCGGAGGCTGTTGCTTTGTGGTTGGATCCAAGGCCCTCCAAGAGTTTCCTGGAAGCTAAAGATCAGTCAGATATCATGAGCCCAGCCAAATGTAGACGAATATGATTCCATTTGGGCCCTATTGAGAGTTACTTTACCTGAACAAATGGTGAAGCTGTTGTTGTCCTTTTGTCTTAGAATCAACTTGCATGATAAAAGATTGTCAATTGACTTGCTGAAAGTGAAAGTAAGCAAGATTATATTAACTTTTTGGTGTATCTCACATCTAATGACCCTTAACTGATTGGATGGACCCTTAGGTCGGTCGATACTTTTCACTATGCTATGCCCACTCAATTCGCACTAAGAAACCTATATTTCTCCAGAGGAAGAAAAAAAACGGGTTTTGAATATTTCAAACAGTGAAGAACCCTTATTCTAACAACGACGAATATTTCAAACATATAATTGGATTTACTTGACGATGTCAAAGGGATGGTACACGTATACTATATTACCTGAACCGTCTCAAATTACGAGGTACAGAAACCCTATGTAAGTTCGAGGATCCATCCAATTATTGGATACCACTGCCAAACCAAGTCTATTATGCATTCCTACTCTTACAAAATCTCATCATCAAAAGCTTAGCTATCATAGTTTTTAGGCAAGAATTTGGAATATATATAGTTTAAGGTAACAAATAAAAGAAGTGTATACATATATAAAGCATTAAAAGTAGAAAAATCCGTTAAACAAAAGTTTTCTTGATCCTTAAGTAACATGTATTTATTGGTTGTTACTCTAATCATTATTGTAGCGTGCTAACAAGGAAACTATAGAAAAGGTCACCGAAAGTAAAAGATTAAAATTTAGTTAAGAAGTTTACTTAAATTATATGAATGGAATTAAGTAAACCAAATTCAAATGATGAATTATGATATATTGATTAGATACATTGATGTTAATGTGAATTTTTTGTGGATTAATATTTTTATAGGTCGTGAAGAAATTAAAATTTGAGCACTTTATAAAATTAAAATTGACAATTTTTGAGTTATTTAATTTTTTTTTAGAATTATTGGATCGCCATTTTTTATATTCCTAAAAAACCTTTTATAAAGCAATTCTTAGAATCTATTAATCGCAAATTTGTAATTAGTTCCATGGAGAGAAAAGAAGAAATAATTGCTTAGAAGAAAAAGAAATCCAACAATCACACTTCGTTGTTTCTAGTTCTCAAAATTAAGCAAAGATAAATCATCAACATGTGTGTTGAATAGGGAGCCGATCTACCTTTATTTGCCAAGTACAAAACACAGCCCCAAAATCTCCCATCAACAAGGGAAAGATCTAGACGGCAGAAGAAGCAACGCCCCCACTTTGGGAGCAACTATCCTTGAGAGTTGGTAGGAAGTGCCAACAGTTTTCCTGTACGGAAAGAATTGCCTGGCAACAAGCAGGGTCTATGTTACCAAATTGGCCGCTGAAAAAGGGACCTGTAAATTTCCCATGCACATCCTTGATGTTCATCATGGATACCCAGGATTGGATGGAGTTCCAGGTCGGAATGGGCCTGGAATTTGTAACATGGTTCCAGGCGGTGGAGGCCGCACCTGGGCTAGCCCTGGCCGCACAAAAAGTCAAAAACTGCACTGAATGTGGTCACTACTAAGAGAATGAACGTCAAAATACACATACAGTTGAATAAAGATCTTACAAGTACCTGTTTTCTTGAATGTTTAATTTTATCTATTTGTTGTTTAAAATAAAAACAACTCAAAAAATTTCTCGTATGTTGAACCAGATCTGCAAAATTCCCTAAACTCTGTATATAATTTTTTTTATGGAAGTTCATGTGCTTACAATTAATTTTACGCCCATCCTCCCCTCACCACATTTATGTCACGTAGCACAACCTCATGCCTTTTTTTTTTTTTTTATTTTGTAAATATACTTAAATTTTTTATTTTTTTATAAGACCCATTTTGTCGATTTTTTTTCCTTTTTTATAATTTTTTAAATTTATCATGGAATAAATTTTATTTTTATATGGAACTTAATTTGGGTGTCACATGACACTCATTATTTTTTTTGTTTTTTAAATTTTTAAAAATTTTTAATGCTTCTTTTATATATTTAATAAAATTTTCTATTTAAATTTTTTAAAAATTGGACCTACCTTATGCCAATATGTATTTTTCTTTTTTTATATTTTTTATAAAATTCTTTTTAGATTTTGAACCTTCTTTCTATGACATCCTTGATATCAAAAGAATAACTCATCTTTTTTTTCTTTTTTTTTTTAATTTTTAATTAAATAATTTTATTAAAAAAATTATAGAATGTAAAGATTAGTAAACATCCAATTCGATTAATTTGATTGTAAAAATAAAAAAATTAACTTAATCGATTTAATTCACACAAAAACGGATCAATGGCTTAAAAACTAACATAAATCACAGTTCAGTAGATTTTTTTCAACTTTTTTGGTTTCAGTTGTGACATATTGCTCAAATATAATAGTTACTCATACCTACAATCCATACACCAGAAACCTATTTACAAAAATCACAACGAAGACTCATAATCGATCTCGGTGATGATCGAAACCTATTCAGCTCAATCATTTGAGTTTCCTCCTTATCTCATCAAAGTCATCAAGCAAAATTTACAAGACAAAAACTTTATATTATATATCAAATCTTTATCAATCAATCAAAACAAGTAATATGTAATTTTCTACAAAACCAGAAGTGTAAATAAAATTCCTAAATTATCCTAAAAATAAGCAAAAAAAAAAACAAAAAATTCAAAACATAAGAAGCCTATACTAAAATAATCAGTGACAAATCAGATTTTGAGTAAGAAAACATACAAAAGAAGAAGCACACATCTAGTTTCATCTTGGGTCGCTTGGCAAATGAGGAAGGGAACGATGAAAGGCCGCTTGGACGAAATAATGAAAGGCTGCTTAGTCTGATCGTGAGAACGAGAGAGTATGATGTAAGTGTAAGTGGCTGCAGAATTCAAGAGAGCGTGAATCTGTGAGATCGAGAGAGATCGACAGAGTAACAGAATACGGATTTTAGATTTTAGGGTTAATGAATAAGGGTAAATGGATTTTTTAATAAACATTTAATTATAAAGGTCGATTTTTTTAGTTGGTTCGGTTTATAAAATTGAAAATCTCTTTTCTTTTTTTTTCAATAATAGTCCAGGTTTTAATTAATTTGTGAAATTGAAAAAAAAGAATATTTAATACAACAACGAGTTTGTTTGGATGTGAACGAGGACGAATATTGCAAGAGTACAAAGATGAAAAATAGGCGCGGGGTCTCCGACACTACGTCAGTCTCAGTCACTCCGATTTGAATCAAACAAGCGAATGGAGTAAACCTAATCTCATCTTTCTTCCTCCAATCCCTTTTTTTTTTTTTCTTTCCACGCTAAAAGAAATGCTGAGAAGAAAACCCACCAAAATCGAAGTCAAGCTCGAAGACAAACAAGAACTCGAAGATTCCCGTAAACCCTCGCCTCCTCCTCCCACCTCCACCTCCTCATCCACCACCACCACGACCACCTCTTCGACCTCCCTTCTGCATCTCCTAGATCGCTCCCACCCTAACCCCACCTCCAAAGTCCAGCGCATCGGCCTCTCCCCCTAATGGAAGTCGAAGTAAAACTCCGCCTCCAAGACGCCGCCGCCCACCGACATTGACCTCCTTTCCTCTTCAAAACTTCCACCAACAAAACCTCTTCTTCGACACACCAACAAATACCCTTTCCTCGCAACTTTCGGTCCTTCGCCTCCGCTTTCTTAATAACGACGCCGCTGCATCGTTTCCCTCAAATCTAAACCCACTCTGGTAGACGGTGTCAGCCGCGTGGAAGAAGACGAGGAGGAACTAGACCCGTGTATCGCACGCGCTTGCCTGGATGACCCGGCAAGGTTAGGGAGGATAGAGTCAAGGATTTTGAAGAGGCTGAAAGTGGAGTTTGGGAAGAAATGGTGTTTGTTTGCTTACGTGGTTTTGAGAATAAAAGGGAGGTTTTTGATTGGAAAATTCTAAAGCTGGAGGTGGATGAGACTAAGTATGAATTTGGGATTTGTTATGAGGTCGAATGTGAGAGTGGAGATCCTGATGGAGTTAAGAAATTGCTTGAGGAGTTCTTAAAGGAAAATAGAATTCGTTATTCTTACTCTAAGATGACATAGTTTGTTGTTTTTAGGTCTAGGAAGCTCCCTTAGCAAAGTGAGTTTGAGGTGCTAATTTCATGCATGGACGGTTTCAAAAGTAGTTTCTTGAACTCTTTGCTTTTTGTGTTTCTTTAGAGTTGTTTATTTGGTTGTTTTAAATGGTTTTTGAAGTGATTCTTGCCCCTTTAATGTTGGATGAAATTATAGCTGCTTGTTATTCTGGGTATTTGGTGATGATAATTTGTTGGTTTTTCGGTTTCCTTGTTACATTTTGGTTTAAATTGCAATTGTGATTTTATTACGGTGCCAATGATTTTTTTTAATGTGCATTATGTTATTGTTTATTCTTCCAGATTTAACGCATCAGCTATTGTGTGAAGGAGTGGAAAAATGATATAATTCCTTTGACTAGTAGAAATCTTGCATATTCTGCAATGTTTTTCCTTGAAAGTTGAAACCAGTGAGAGTGCCTTTTATTCTTAATGTTTTTCAAATAATGAGAAAGAAAAAGAAGTTTGTTTTGATTGGATTAGACTGAGTGCCATATGTTTGTTATGGTACCTAGGTCCCTTATAAGGCCTCTAAATTGAGAGAAAACATGCTGTTCCTGAAAAATAAAAAATGGGAAAGTTCACTTTTGCATAACCTCTGTTTTCTTTTCCATGGGCATTGGAACAGTCAAAGTGCAGGAAATAACCGGTTGATATAAGAAGATCTCTGACCATATGGTCTTAAGTTGAATATAGTACTCAGCAACAGTCATATCCCCTTTACTGTATCACAACTAATCTGTGCTGAAGTTGATAAATACAAATATAGTTCATATGCCATCTCAATTCTTGAATTATGAGGACACCCATCTCAATATAGTTCATATGCCATCTCAATTGTGTGAAAAAAAAATGAAAACAAATACTATAAAAGAAAAATTAGAAAGAAAATATGAGAACGCAAGAGCAGATAGTTTAATTAGCTGCTTTTTGTCTGTTATAACATTGAAAGAAAAGCTCATTGTATGTTCTGTGGTTGTTCTCAGTAGCCTTTATCTATGAACTCTTCCTATGTAATAAGCCTCTTCCCTACCATAATCATCTGCCAGGGTTATTCAAGCCTAGTCTCAAATACATTGTTGTTGTTACTTATATTATCACTTTATCATTTCAATTTTTACTTATTTTTTACTTGCTTAATGCCTCATCAATTAGGTTTTTGCCTCTTGATTCTCCTTTCCCTTTTTTTTTAATTTTCATTGAATCCTTTTGTGAACTTAAGTCTGGTGAGTTATGCTGTCAATGCCTATTCTACGAAAATGTTAATAGAACGTATCACGAGTCGAACAAGTTTGTATGCTGTATTAATTGAAATGTAATGCGTGCATCTTAATTAAATTGCAAGTTTATAGCTTAAAAATAGTTAAATTGCAATTTTATTTTTCACCTAGCTCAAAGTCAGGCACTAATTCTTGCCGCATTTTTTTCACTCACTGAGTTGATCTATTAAAGTGCTATTTCCTTTGTAGGTAGTCATGCAATATGATCATCAATGCGAGGGGAGAAAGGTTTACCATCTTCCTTTTGAAGAGAGCAAATAATTTTACCATCTCGTTGCACAATTCTGAGACATTATATCATTAGCAATGAACATCATTATTATTATTATTGCACGTTAATACTCTTTGACAGTCAAAGCTTGAATAACTAATGTAACAAGTCTGGTCTCTTCCTCTCTGGGTTTTCTACGAATTACTGTTGATTGTGTTCAAAAGTTTGTCTATGATGTGGCTCTTTTCTCAAATCTTGCTTATTCATCTGTCACCTGCCCCTAACTCCCAACACTACAGAGGGGCTGTTTGAATGCGAGCTGCGTTAGACTGTCACAATCACCTATGGGTGGAATATTAAAACCAGCGTGATAATCATAGCCCAAAAAATTTTTTATCTCCGAGTAAGGACAAAAATCAACTAATGGTTGTTTTACTTGCTGGGTTTTGCTCAACCTCATTTGCACCTTCTAAACAAACAAAAAACTGGGATTTAATAAAGTTTGACTTTCTATAACTAAATTAACCCAATAAGCCACCGTTCTTTTGTTCCAATTGCTTGGAACAATACCTTCGTACGTCAGATTTTGTGTGGCCAGGAGGCTTAGAATGACTTAATCTCAAGATATGGAAACCTCAGGTTCTAGCCTTTTGGGAAAGCCCGATACCCTGCAAGGTCAGCAAGTTACATCCAGCCGCAACATTTTAGTCCAGTGTTAATCTCTAATTTGACATAATTGAATAAACTTCGGTTTCTACTTTACAGTTCTACTGAACAAAAGCCCAAGACGTAATTAAACAATCCTGATATTTGATGCAATTAGCAATGCCAAGTTCTACGGAACAAAAAGGAATGACCGTTGATTAACGGTGCAATAATTTGTATCATAACCACCGGTAACATAAGTGCACGACAAATACCAGAAATAAGGTTCATTCAGAACAAAGGATGCCAAATCTTCTATTCTATTGCAAACAAACAATCTAAAGGCCTATATGATTAGTTTCACTTCCTCTTCTTAGCAGGTGGCTGAGGAACCTCATCATCCTCATCTTCTTCGTCCTCCTCTTCTTCATCCTCCTCCTCCTCATCATCTTCGTCCCCATCATCATCATCCTCATCATCATCCTCTTCATCACTCCCTCCATCCCCATTGGCCTCAGGGTCATCCTTGGGATCCGCTTCCTCACCTTCTTCAGCTGAGAAATCCTCATCAGCTGCATCATCATCTTGATCATCTGCGTTATCCTCCTCTTCATCTTCGTCATCATCCTCTGTATCACTGGCATCTTTGTTTTCTGGACCAGGATGTTCCATTTTTAGAAGTTCATCAAATGGAAACCTGAAAAAGAATTCAACCTCACCAACCTGTCAGATTTCCTCTTACCAATCATTGATACGGTATATCAAGATGAAAATGAAAATGAATTTCATTACCTGTGATCCACTGCAGTCAAATTAAGTGATGCATTCATATTATTCAGCACTGATCCTGTCTGCAACAACAATCTTAAATCATGTCAGGAAGGATCTTAAGCAAAATAAATACAACAAACAAGTAAATGATGTAAGCTTCCCAAAGGCAACATGCTTATATGTGCATTTAACAATGTTACAGAGCAACAATAATAAGTTTCCCTCATCAATTCAAGTCCAACATATCATGAATATTAACACCTGAAAATAATTAAGCTCAGAGAAGTAAGTAAAAGGAAAAGTGGACTATAGATAATGCTGCATGCAGGGAGAAGCAACAGTTACCAACTCAGTATAATGCTTATTTGCAAGCCAACCTTTTTACATATTGACATGTTAAAAATTTATTTCAAATGATTAAAATAATTATTTCATCAAACACAGATAAATGGAGACTTTGCAAATTAAGTCAGCAAATAACCCTGATGCCACAAATCAAGACCCTGAAAAAAAAAATCCTCAAATATCAATTTGGTGCCATATAAGCTAAAAGGCAAACTAGACACAAATTTCATGTCTAAAAAAAACAGCAGCAAAAATTTTGACCCAGGGCCCCCAAATTCATAGTTCTGTAATAAATGACAATAGAATGCAATCTTAGACAATCTTGTGCCCAAATGTTCTAAGACCAAAGTTTCTTGATAATTGGAATTACACATTGAAACTCAATAGAAATGTTAATGTATTGGGATGCACAGTAACAGACGGAAAATATCCCAAGCACTAGAAGGTCCAGGGGAATGACCATTCATGGTCAGATACCAAAAAAAGTATTATAGAAGGATTTTGGTATTTTATGCTGAATCTAACTAAAAACCAAACGTTGTAGGGCCTGTAAGGCAGCAATGTAAAGAATCTGTAGCCATCAGCATACATTAGAAAAGAAGATGACATTGTTCAATTGCAGACAACATTACAACAAACGGCATATTAAATTCTAGTGGCAAGAAGATTCTAATCATATTAATTATCATACCAAAACTTAAGCTAAACTTATTATGGAAAAAAATCCCAATTACTCCTATCCCATTTCATGTAAGTACAAGTTTTAGACAACAAAAAGCTACTTAAACATAATAAATTCAAGTAAAAAGCCAAAAAAAAAAAAAGGTGAACCAGTAGAAGTCCTCCACAAACGCCAATTCTTGAATCTTAATAAGAGGAAACTTATGACCCCCAAGAGTAAGTCCACACAATTTCAATAACCAAAAGCAAAGCTTGCCCTTAACAACAACAACCAATGTACAAATTCATAACAGAAAAGGTAACAATTTTAACATTTTAGCAGCTCATAGAACCTCGACGAAGACAAGAGAGGGTCAACCACCAAAATTCAGTAAAGAAAAAGGGGGGGGGGGGGAGAACACAATACAAGAAGCAAAACCTTATAAATAAATAAATATAATGTTTTTGAGACAAAACCCAAAAAAATAGAACACAGCATATGAAACAAGCAAAACAACTTTCAAACAAACAAAAAAAAGCCTTTACAAAGGAGAAAGCAAATATACCAGCATGAGAAAGCAAGCAAGAGACTTTCCAGCGAGAAACAAAGTCTCAGTCACCAAAGCTTCCAATACAGAGCATACCAAGATGCTCTTTTTAACTGGGCTGAAACTAGCGACCTCCATTGCTGCCTTAACTACGCTAAAGAAATTACACTTTCTAAAGAAAAAAATAAAAATCAGTTAATAAAGAGCAAAAGACTTTGAAAAAATAGTAATGATAGAGAGAGAAAGAGAAAGACCTGAGAACAGAGTGGTTTCAGGGTCTAGGTCCGGTTAGGGTAAACCCTAGGGGTTGGTCCGGATTAGGGTTTTTGGGTGACAAAATTAACATTACCTAACGTTGATTTTTGTGACTTCCAAGAAAAATGAACGGAAATTATTGGATGAAAAGTGGTATAGTGTAGTGGAAAGAGGAGAAATGGGTTTGGAAATAACAGTTTAAAATTTTCTGGGGTGAAATTGACTTTTCTTGTGAGTGTATTTATACAGCATATATTTAAAATATTTTTTTGACTTAACGCTTTGGATCCAGTGTCAGAACAATTTTCTCGTCAATTTTTGGGGGGGGGGAGAAAATCACGTGGTACTGGGTCCACTATAACTTGGTGAAATTGTCCAATCAGGTTTCTGATTTGTGTGTGTGACTGGGGAAGATTCATTGGTGGAGCCCACTGTAATTAATGGGATTAGAAGCCCAAGTTGGTTTTATAGTGGGCTTGTGTCCAGCTGTTACCTTCAATGGCTAAGCCTACTTTTAAGCTCCGTTTGTGTTCAGAAAATCGGCCCATATTGATATTTGAAAACATTAGATTTTTTATTATTTGAATGATTCAATAAAAATACTTTTTTATTTTATTTTATTGTTTTTTAAATAGTAGTATAATATAAATATTAAACTATTACATTATTAAATTTTGAATTTTATTTATTATTAAAATATAAAAATATTAATATTTTAATAATAATATTTAATTTTACAATTTTAAAATTTTAAATACTTTAAAAAAAACTAACATATATATTAATATTTTTAAATATTTAAAATATCAGCACTTATTGTTAAAAATATTCATAATATTTAATAACTAAAACAATATTATTTATTATTTAAATTTTATATAGTTAAATTAAACAATTAATTTATTAAAAAAGACTGAAAGTTAAAAAAGTATCTAACATGTAAAACAACAAAAGAGCCCCCCCCCCCTTTTGATTCTTGTTGAGCGAACATTTAATCCTTGAATTTTAGTTGACAACTCAATTAAATTACATATAACAAAAAGTTTATGAATAATTAAGTATATAAAGATTAAAATTAATAATAAATATGTGATTAAAAATATTAAATAGCATAAAAGTTGTTACCAATAAATATAATTTGTTGGCTCAATCCAATTCTAAGTAAAGATTATAAATGTGTCACCATACTAATGATAAAAAATTGGCTTTCCAATGCAGACAACATTTCTTCTTTATTGTTTTCAAAAAGGGAATTTAACAATCAATAAGTTTTAAACTAAAACAACTTTAATTAGATTTTTGTTCATTAAATTGGATTGGAAGGCTTTCCTTGTAATTCAATTTTTTAGGTCTTTATTCTTAGAGTAGAATTTCTTCCATCCTACACTGATTCCTAGCAATCTTTTAAGAGAGGTGATCTCATACTCCTAGTAATTTATAATACATAAGCATGTAATATTCTCTTATTATTCTTTTTATGGAATTAATTAAAGTACATCAATGTAAGTGAGGAATTTGCAGCGAGGCAAGTGTATCACGGGTTGAAATTTAAGTTTTAAATTCACGAGATTTTTGAATCCGGACATCTATTCATCCGACGTCTCAGATCAGTCTGATTATTACGATTCACACTCTTGTGAGATATTATCCGTTCTGATCCCTTAACCTCACAATTTTATCCTACAAAAAACGTCTCACAAAATAAAAATGGTGCGAACTCTTTTATACTTTCAATAACCCTCCTATTATATTTGATATAAAATTCAAAACTTGTTTTAAATCCGTGATAAGTATACTTGACAATTAAGCCTAAAGCAAAGCCTATGGGCCAACTACTTGTTGAAACACATTGTTTTTTTTTTTTTTTTTTAATTTCTTATAAAGAATGATAAATTCTTATCGCCATCGTTTCAAATTTCGAAAGGTTGTAATTGTTTGAAAAATTAGAATTCGTACCATCAGATCAAAGCATTGCACATTTTTTCAAGTGCGAAAAAATCCTGCTTTCTTTTTTAAATTATCAACTGTCCAATGCATTAAACGTTTGTTATGTCTATTTATCAATTGAAAATTATACATGAATGATAATTAAACAGACTCTGTATCAACAAATTTTGAGAGACTAATTCTTACCTTCCACTACTTCCCCAAGTATTATCTTTCTTCGAGGGTCGGTAATTTAATCAATTATCAATGGGTTTTGATTTTAATCGATTTTATATGATCGATTTTTTTTTTAAATTTAAATTTCGGATTAAGTCGAATCGGATAAAATTATGAAACAGTCGTGTTTAAATTTTAAACAAATTCGATCCGATATTATATAAAAATTTATTTTTATTAATTATTTAATTTTTTATTTATATATATTTATATAATGATATTTTTAAATATTTGTATTTAAAAATAATATTTTATATTTTAAAAAATAATATTTTATTAATTTCGATTTGGTTCGAGTCGAATACGATTTATATAATATCGGGTCGAGATCGAATTCGAGTATAAAAAACAAAAAAAAATTAAATAAGATCAAATTTAAATTTGATAACATATAAAATTGGATCGAATTCGAAACAACTTTCGACTCGATGCTAACTTTACCTTCTTTCAATAGGGCAATTTTAAATCAAGTGTTTAGAATAAAAAATTACTAACTATTTATGGCATAATCGATAAAAGCTAGCAAATAAATTATTAAACGAATCACAAAGAATAAGTAAATAAGATAGGAATTTCAAGATTAAAAAACAAAAAAAGGAAATAAGAGATATATCGTGTGCAATCAACCCAAAGTAGGCTTGGCGATAAAAGAAAATTTTGCACCTGCATTGGACTGGTTGCCTACTACAAAATCAAAACAAAAGAAAAAGCTCAGCTTGAAAAAATTAGAAATGATAATATTTTAACAAAGATAGTAAAGGAAATTTTATTCAATAATAAAATTTTGAAAAACAAAAAATCAGTAGAAAGACGTGTGCCATGGTGGAGGAAGATAGTGGAAGAAACTGAAACAAAGATGGACGTTTGAGGTGATAAAGCAGCAGGCGATCTAGAAGTCAGTGTCAAAACTCACCATCAGTCTTCATCTTCATCTCCCATCTCTGTACTCCATCCTCTTCTTTTCCTTTCTTTGTTTTTTCCGAACCGTCCATAAGTTTCTCTCAATATCTAAACATGAAATTTTTTGCTTTAAGATTTTGGTGAAGCTTTTTTCAGTTTTTTTAAATAGATTATCATTTATATAATTTTTTTTTTCAAAATTACTCTTTAGGTGTTTTTATACAAGAAACCTTAAATAATTTTTTTATAAAAATATTAATCATAAATTTTAAAATATAAAATAATTATTTAAAATATTTTTTGTATAAAAACGTTTTAAATAATTTATTTATAAAAATATAAAATAACTATTTAAGATTTTTTTAGAAACATTTTAAAATAATTTATTTATAAAAATATAAAAAAATTATTTAATACGTTTTTATACATAATATTTTTTGTAAAAATATTAATTTTAAATCTTAAAATATAAAAAAATTATTTATGACATTTTTTGTACAACAATATTTTAAATAATTTATTTATAAAAATATAAAATAATTATTTAAGCTGTTTGTACAAAAAAAATTTTATAAAAATATAAAAAGGTTATTTAAAATTTTTTTGTATAAAAACGTTTTAAATGACCTTTTTATAAAAATATTAACTCTAAATTTTAAAATATAAAAAAATTATTTAACACATTTTTTTATAGAAATATTTTAAATAATTTATTTATAAAAATAAAAAATAATTATTTAAAATATTTTTTATGTCAAATACCTTAATTGTAAAATAAAAAAAAAATTTCATACAAAAATTCAAAGATATTTTTTAAAAAATAATTGTTATTTTATAATTTTTTATTTAAATTAAATTTAAAAATAAGTTCAACTTTCCTACAAGAGAAAGGTGGGTACTGTTAGTAATATGTCACTTTTCCTTTAATCTAATTACATGAGTTAAATGTGAGAATCAAATACCTATCATCAAAATTCTAAGAAAAAATTTGTGGATTCCCAACCAAACGCCACCTAAAGGTTCATTGAATTGGGTTTTAACGGGTTTACTTAACCGGATTTTGGAAATACATGTTTTTTAGTTTTGGCAATATTTTGGGAGTTTTTTGGATTTTAACGTTTAGTTCTGACATGCTGGTCTTGAAATTTTCATTGGATTGAATTCGGTTTAACTGAGTAGTTTTTGGGTTTTCTTGCTTTGCTAGCTTGGTGGAGATATACATGCGGCGGATCACAATGGGCAGACGGCCTTGCACTGGAGTGCGGTCGGTGGTGTAATACATGTTGCTGAGGTTTTACTCCAAGAGGGTGCTCGTGTGGATACTGCTGACATCTATGGCTACCAGGTTAGTTTGTCTTCAATGTGGTGCCTTGTACTATATTCTTTCTTATTCAAGAAATTAGTATGGTTTCCCTCAATATGGATTTGGAGAAGTGATCAGTGATGTAAGTTAATGTTTAATCAATGCTACGCTAGCTGTTTTATACATTCTTCTCTGCTTGAAGTTGGTTTATATCTGGATAGGCATCATATTTTATATATATATATATATATATATATTTGAGGAGCGTTAGAACTCATCAATATATGGTTTCCATAAAACTAGTAGATCATATTGATATTTTAAGGCTTAAGATATGTTTTTGTTATGCATTTTAGTTAAGGCTATCTATGTAGCTGGAGATGATATTCATTCCCGTATTCTCCTACTTGTCTAGGACCTGAAAGACAGCCTTGTTTACTCTGGCACACTAATTAATTCCCCTCATATTTTCCCTTTTCTTGTCCCCTTTTCTTATCTGTTTTCCCTTCTGGTATCATTTTAATAAGATGCAATTTTATGTAGTTGTTTTTAGCTGCTGTTGCTGACACAGTTTTTATTTTTCCGTTTTTTGGAAATTTTAATTGTCTAGAACTCTAGAACATGAGGGTGGGTTTCTACTTCTTAATTTAATGTTCCAGCTTTATGCTTACAGTTTGTGTTTTATAATTTAATTGAGGTATGATAATTGATGTATTTCTTCCTTTTATTTCAACCTCCAGATGGATCCATACTCAGTTTTTTGTAATTTGATACAGCTAACATATGTTGCTGCCCAATATGGTCAGACTGCTTTTCTCTATCATGTTGTTTCAAAATGGAATGCTGACCCTGATGTTC